TTAAAATCAGTAAATTATCATGCAAATTAGGTAATTAATATTCATATATTTTTACCCAAAACTAATCAAATCTGCGCACTAGTTCAGAGCATCCATGTGCCAAATTTCATCAAAATCCAATTAATGGTTCTTCAGATATCAGTGGAACAGTCTTGAAACAGCTAAAAATCAGCTAATTATCATGCAAATTAGGTAATTAATATTCATAAATTTTTACCAAAACCTAATCAACTCTGCGCATTATCCCAGAGTATCTATTTACCAAGTTTCACCAAAATTTGATTAGTGGTTCTTGAGATAACGGTGGAACAAAAAAAGTGACATACATACATACACAGACATGGTAACTGCAAAGACTGCCTTTTGTGCTTCGCACACGGGAGTCAAAAAGTGCAAACAAATGTGGGCAAGAAAATCTGGTGGTTAAATCATTTTTAATTTTATTATGCACAGAATGGTCTTAGTATAAACTAAATACACAACAATTTGCAAGATTAGTTTTTTTCTAAATTTTCTGATAAGCAATCACAGTGTAATTCTAATTTCTACTGTTTTTATATTCATTATAACTTTTATAAGTTGAAAACCATTTCACTGGTGCTGGTAGTAATATTTCATTTCAACAAATCTGACCTGAATGGAAGAAAATGGTCATATTTTCAGCCATAATTCTTTGGATTTGTGAAAATGTACTTTTTTTTCCATATTTAATTTTTCGTAATTATTATACTTAATATATGAAATTATGTCAAACTTTATTGTGTACTCTGCTTAAAAGAATGATAAATAATAATGTATGAGAAAAAAAATTGTGATTGACATCTAATTAATTTGCATATTTGCTGTCACCATAGTAACCACTCTTGTTGAATCATGCCAGTTTGTCAGACTTCACCTGTATATACACGTTTATAATCAGTTGGGCTTTTGAAGAATATGGTAAATTAGGTTGTATGCTGCCCTCTATGTTTTATCAGTGTCATATTGTGTATGTTTGTTATAACACTGTTGGTCTGTTGTCAATGTGGAGACGCTGACCTACATATGTGATGCATGATACAGGCTAAATAGTCATTAAAGCTAGTGATATATATACATCAGCATGTGAATTTGACTGACAAACTGGCGACCATTTTCATCCAGTAAAACTTCAACCATCTTTCTGGCATGCTTCGACTTATTTTAAAAACGCACGCCAGTTTTGTGATTTGATTAAAAATGGCTGAATGCCGCCCATGTTTGGTTTGATTTTCATATGTTGCCAACCATTTCATGGAAATGCCTTGACCTGATATTATTCAACATTGGTGCAAAGATGAGCATTATGACTTGTCCCAGACAGCATGGCATGGCACCCAGTTTTGTTGCGGGCAGCATGGCATCCAGTTTTGTCCCAGATAGCATGGCACGGCACCCAGTTTTGTCCTGGACAGCATGGCATCCAGTTTTTTCCCATCCCTATTACACATGTCATCAAGTTTTTTCCAAATTTCATTCAAACTTGGTAAGGATATCACACATTCTGTTTCACGTTTTTCAATTTTATTTTTGGTATTCAATACTGGCAGCCATTTTGTTTTATTTTTCAATTGTCCTTCCTCCCCTTTTCTCAGACACTTAGGCATATTTTGCTTACAAATTGTTTTAAAGAAATATTCTTAACATTATTCTTTCTCCTTTTTGTGACCTCAAATCAAACGTAGCCACATACAGAATGGAATGTCATCTACAGCAACTCGTCTACCTGATTATACATAGCCCCAAAGTGGAAACGCATTTGGTATTCACTCCGATATTTAAAAAAACAAACACAAAATGTTTTAATGCAGTCATTTGGGCAAAATCACAATTTATTTACATTTAAATTACAACTTTATATACCACTGAAAATGCTTCAACTACAGTGAGGTTTAGCCATGCATTAGTTTCTTAAAGCATGGTAGTCGTCGCGCTGCACCACATTTTTGTTGATAAACATTGATTTCCCCACAATCCAATGCGCTCTTCAAATGGAAATCACATGTATGAGATTTGACCTGGGCACGACTTGCACTGATTACCGCCGGTGACTCCTTCGATACCTTCCAATAACATGAAAATTACTTAAAGCTTGGAAATGTCTCAGTTCGTACTCGTTGATCTGCGCAACAGTCAAAGTCACCATCTTTGTTTATACGAGGCCCATATATCGACGACTACCGCGCTTTAAACCTGGCACAAGTCACGAGTATGTCTTAATTCTAGATTTAAATGTATCCACAGTGATGTACAATATCCTTGTGATTCCTAAGAAATAGTTTTTGATCAGAAAGGAGACTGGGGTAACTGTTAATGATCAAAGTTAAAGCGAGGGGGGAGTCATCGCCTGCACATGCATCAGATGGCCATAGCATGTCATTGTTTATAAACAAGAGTTTACCAATGAGTGCGTGTTGTAGTAGCTTGAGACTCAATTCCGCACATGTGCAGGTGACGACCCTCCCCTTTAAATAATAATTGTCAATAGTCAGGTCAATATCTCTCGAAGGGTTAAAAAACCAAAAAACATTCCTTTAAAAACTTGTAGTACTGAATTTAAATCATCTTGAGACTCAACATTTAAAAACAAATTTAATGCAAATGACCTCAATAAAATTATTTAATCCAACCAATGATTTTTTTTCAAGCTAGTGCAAATGACTTCTAGCTTAAATTAACCATACAATTGTTTGTACCAACAGACATCTTATCCATTCTCGCCACCAGAGTGAAAAAGTACAAGTTTATTTTCGCTTTGGGATTTGCGAAATGGTGTTTGAGCTGTTTTTCTATCGAGACTCGGCATAATGACAGCTAACTTATCATACCGCTTTTTATTGCGAGCAAAAATTAACATATTGCAAAAAGTATCCTTGTAAAACCAACAATACAACTTCGCAACATAATTGGAGCTCAAGTCTAAGAATTCAAAACACTCAACACTCAGAACACCTGGTACCTTACTGTCCAATATTAAAAACATCAGTTAAAAGTCAAACCTAAATGACGAGACTGGTTAGCCTACAAACAAAACATTGCAGCAAAATTGCTGTGTTTATTTTTAGACAATTCCCTGTTACCATGGTAACACATCTGTGCATTTTGTGATTTGGTACAGCATTATGTACATTTTAACGATTTTTTGAATCAAACAGACAAAAATTCAACATTGCCTACAGATTTTGGAAACAAGTTTACAGGTGTCAAAATTAGTACATAATGACTAGCAACCAATAATTATTAAAAAGTTAGATGCAATTTACGATGAAGTAACAACACATTGTTTTTGAGAAACTCTTTACAATCTAAACAATGATCAACAAAATTTAGTAGAAAAAGTATTCCAAATAAACAGTTCAACATAAAAACATTCTGGCCAAGATGAAGCTCAATATACATCAACAACAAAACATTCTATACTGTATAGGAAAACACCTCAACATTGAATCAGCATTGCATCAACATTTTTTGACAACATCAGCAGTCGCACAAAATTTATAAAAAGAAAAAAATACTTGACATGCCAGAATTTATTTTCACTGAAAATGGCATATTTTCACTGAGGTGCAACAACTATCATTTATAAACAAATATTTTCACATGCTTTTACTTTTGGCAATTTGCTCACTACAGCGAAAAATAAGCAACCTACAGTACAATGCTGATTATTAAAAAATTCCATGATTTTGTTTGACTATACAAGGAACATTAAAGCGAAGGGAGATACTTCAACATTTATTATACACAAAAAACTTCTTACTCAACACTCGTACACTCATTCAGGTTTTTAATTAGACATACAAATCAGTTGATAGTCAATTTCATTTCGTTGAGTAAATAAAATTAGAGTACGTAACATACCGGTAGTATTAATTTTAGCAGATGATAATAAGATTATCGAAAATACTGTTTTACATATTAAAGTTGCAAATCTATTCAAATCACTCAAAAGCATCCTGAATGATTACACCAAAACAGCAACATTGCCAGCTAAGTTGCTGACGTGTTTGTTACGCACACCTCGTTACATGCATGATTAAAACTGGTTACTGTGAAATTTATTTTAACTGGAATTAATTTTCGCTGAAAAGGCATTTTGGGTGTTTTGTATGGAATTTATTTTCACTTATTTTTGACAAGTTAAATGTGTAATATAGGGGAAAATATATAGGATTTTATTTTCACAGAATCATTCTTTCAGCAAAAATAAATTCCAAGCAAAAATAAAGTATTCTACAGTAGTTCAAACCACTTTTACGAAAGTGTGCCATTTGGGTAAATGTGTTAATTTACAAGCATTATGACATACACCATCATCTGTGTCCTGACATTTCATACTGTGTTAGTACATACATTTTATTTGGATTACTTTGCCATATAAAAATGTATACGATTAAATGAAATTAATTGAAAGGCAATCACATAAAGATTTTCTATTTATATTCAACATGTCTGGATCCCACACTATTCTACGTCTCCTGCTGGGGTTGGTTCGACCCAACTTGATTTAATCACGTAACAATCTCCAGGCACGTACAAACCAGTCAGCATTTTAGTACTACTGGTAAAATCAAATGGGCGTGAAAGCTAGGGCAGGAGACATTTTTAGCTTGTTCTAAAAGTGAAGTTTCATTTATTTGTAAATCGTTTCATGCAATTTTCAATACAAGACGTAAGTAAGGTACAGCATTTATAAGTGATCAGCTAAAGGGGGAAAAAGTATATAACAGATCTACCACTCATTCCAAGAAATTACGAAAACATCATCATACTGGTCCCCTTAATATTGCATTATATATATCACTCCAAGCTACTTGTCACTTCGTTTGCTGTCGCCATTTTTTCCCTATTCATTTCGGCGTGGAGGGCTTCAGCAGGTGATTTCTCTGATAAGTTCTAGGTGTGATCACAGACACACTAAATATCATATTTAACAATAAATTACGATTTACTCAAATCTCACAATTGTATTATTAAAGGTAGAGATGCAGTTTACCTGACAGGTATTTTAATTAGTTAATTAGGAAACCAAGATGACCTCCCTTGTCCACAAAACTATATATTTTCGGAAAGCTTATTGTATGAATTTTAAAATTTTGTTAGTATTTTTCTTTTATGGACACTGTAGTTTGAAATATGCACAAAAATGTGCTTTTTTTGGTCAAAAGTGATTTTAAAAAAATTAGCTTCTAAACCATGTTTCCTGTCAAAATAGGTTTATGGGTACATCTGTTTACTATGAAGAAAACTTGAAAACTTGAAAACTGTTTACCAGTTGTCAATTTTGCAGGGCAGCAGCCCAAATTTCACTACTTCAAGTTTATGCATAAATTAACACCCAGGCTCGTTGTCTGTACGATTATTGTAACACTGTTCAACCAAAAACAATGCCCCAACGGCGTTTTGAAGATAAACATATTGTCAATCATTTGTGAAAATTTCAAAACAAAAGGTCAAAGTGTTTAGGAGCTATTTTTCTTAAAGTTCTGGGATGTGCACTAAAAAGAAGCTGAGATATTTGCTAATTTGCATAACAATTCACCCAGTAAGAAGTTTGCTAATGCTCATAATTAAAATGGCTGTAACAGTTCCAAATTTAAATGTATTATCGTTTTGTTAAAAGTTAAATATAGTGCATAATATGGAGATCCAGTCATTTCTTTTTTTCACCATGTTTCTTTTTTATTATTTATGTACAGCCATGCTAAATCTTGCTAAGCATTCAAAAGAGAGAATGTTTGCACCTGTTATCTATATTTTAAAATCGTTTTTTGAGTATGTTCCACTATTCACAATTCTACAAAATTTCAACAGTCTAGCCAAGACTGTTTGGATAATAAAAAGCAAAAAAAAAAAAAAAATTTCCACTCCCAAGTGCCCACGAACCTGCATCTCTACCTTAAACTAAAAACTTTCCCAATCCAAACACAATCTTAGCAAACTTAGCAAGTATCTACTGACAATCAACTCATATCTCTTAAGGCAAAGAACATGAATATTGTTTTTCTGGGCCAATTAAAATAAAAATTAGTCCACAAAAGAAGCTTTGTATTGTAAACTCCCCCAATAACAGACTTCCATTGCGTGTGAGAGTTGTTGCGGATGTTTTTGTAAATTGATTCTGATGCAAAGTAATTAAATGAAATACATTCTTTAAATGAGAATCTGTACTATAAACACAAACGATCCTTTGTAACCTTAAAGCAGCATCAAACTACAGCAACTATAAACAACTATTTTTCACAGGTTTTATAAAGATGACAGATGAATTTGTCAAAACCTACACTGGGTTTTTGGTTTTCATCATTTATTTATTTATTCTTTTCTTTCATGATCAGAATCATCTTCATCTTCTTCACCGCTAGAGGGAGGGGGTGTTGATGATCTTGAACTTGTCGGCGAGACAGGTACTGATGCAGGGCGTGGCAGCATGAACGCCTAAATAAATACACACAATTGATTATCAGTGGAAACGTACAAAATGTATATTGAATGTAAAGTAACTACCAATACATACCCCACCACAAAAGACAATAAAAAAACAGAAAGAAACTATATATTTTCAAAACTTGTCATGTAACACATCTGTGAACATATACCCACTACTGCATGTGTACCAAACAGTGCTGGTTGGTTCAGTAAGTTATTTTGGGGGTTCTTTGCTGCATAGAGCTCCATGTGTGTAGCTAGCTGACTGGCCAGTGAATACCGGTATTAATTAAACTTAGCTTGTTTGTTCAGGGGTAATAACATGCTGGACACCGTCTTTAAGTTAGGTCAGTTGTCCCTCTAGTGGTGAGTATTTCTAATCCTTTGTTTACTGATTTTAGTGTGTGTAGACCAGATTAATTATACGACATTTAAACAAGCAGCCTATCGGCTGAGATAGCTCCGCTGTTAGCAATGCACATTTCAATTAAAGAACTGAAGACATCATTAGAAAATGAACAATATGAATAGTATCAAAGCAATCGGACTTACAGTTTTTAACAAGAAGTCGAAAATATCACTTTTTACCAAAAATTACAAAAATATTCACCAAAATAAATTAATTAGAGAATTGAAGATATCATCACAAAACGAACAAATCTGAGAGAGGTCCACATGTAGTACCTATATATGTAATATCAAAGCAATCGGACTTACAGTTTTCAACAAGAAGTCGAAAATATCACTTTTTACCAAAAATGACAAAAATATTCACCAAAATTAGAGAATTGAAGATATCATCACAAAATGAACAAATCTGAGAGAGGTCCACATGTAGTACCTATATATGTAATATCAAAGCAATCGGACTTGCGGTTTTTAACAAGAAGTCAAAAATATCACTTTTTACCAAAAATGACAAAAATATTCACCAAAATTAGAGAATTGAAGTTATCATCACGAAATAAACAAATCTGAGAGAGGTCCACATGTAGTACCTATAT